CGTATATACGAATTCATCTATAAAAAAACCAACCCTTCTCTTCTTCTTAGGTTGGAACCCCCCATTTCTCTACTCTCTCCATTTCCGAAATTCATCTCCTCCCTCATTAATATCTCCCCACTTTCTTCCTCCAAACATACAAAAATCACCCCATCTTCATCATCATAAACACCATTTATTACATTTGGAGCTCAAGAACACATCTTCCATTTTTGTAAGATTTTTATTACTGTAATAAATATTTATTTGTTTAAGCTTCAAACTATGAACTTCTAAATTCCATTAGGGTTAGAAGTTGGTGTAATTAATTGTCCATCTTAATGTTTTAAATATTTTTAACACGGATGGTTGATTTTATTTTTACTTGGATGTTGTATTTAAAAATAAATAAATTTGGAATGTTTGTGATTATTAAGGGCCCAATCATAAACATAATTGTTACAAGGAATATGAGTTAAAATTGATATAATCATAAAATAGAACACTTTTTAATTACACCGTAAGCCTTCTCTACCTTTAACCGGGATTGAAGACTTTCGGGTGGACATAATTATTGAGTTGTATTTTTACACCATTAAATTAGGTAAACATACAATAAAATAATTGTGGTTGCCGTTGTTACTAAATAATTACTCCGGATTTATCATTAGCGTGTTAAAATCGAAGTGGTTATTATTTAGGTGAACTACGAGAGCGTCCCTAAATACTTTTCTGCAACCCCACACATTCTATATAAAAATAAATTGACAATCCAACTTTTATAAAAACATTGGACAATTAATTTACCAATTTCTACCCCTAACTTTTCATCATCAAAAACTTTGTGTTGTTTGGAACTCTCTACTTTTACACTTTTTATTTTATCTCTAAAACCAAAAAAGACCAAAAACATTTTACAACTTCTTTTTGTAAACTTTTGTTTAAATTAAATTAACTAACGTCTCCCTGAGGTTCGACACCCTACTTACAAGGGTTCTTTTTAGTTGTTATTTTTGCCCGTTCTATACTGCAAATCAAGAAGTTAAGGAAGAAAAGGGTTTGTTTGGGTTTGTTGATGGTATGGCCGAAATGGGGAGAGGATAACAAGAGAAAAGTGGGGAAAATACCAAGTTGGTCTTAAGAGATATAACACACTCTTTTCTTCACTTGGAGTTTGAATCTAGAATTCAATCAAGATATTACACACTCAATCAAATATCTAGAACCTAACACTCACACTTAAGAGAACCAACCTTAAGATATAGAAATTAGGATTTAAAATAGAATACAACAAGTGTAAGGCCTAGGGCTGTATTTAAACATACAAGGGGAAGGGGTGAAGCTTTCTTGCTACATTCACTCAAATAATGAAAACAATGTCTAGTTATTTTATGTCTCCTTAATGGAATGAAGACTCATGTGGGAGTGTGGTTGTGGGGCTTGAGTTTCGGTCATAGGTGGGGAAAAGGAGGTGACATCTGTTAGAATAATAGACCAACGCTAGAGGGTGGGTGAATAGCGTTTGATCAAAAAATCGCAGGAATAAAATTGAATAAACGAGAAGTAAAGAGAAGAGTAAAAGGCACACCGATTTTACCCTGGTTCACCACAACTTGTGGCTAATCCAGCCTCCCGAGAGACTCTCTCGAGCTACACTACTATCTCGTTAAGCTTAACGGTGCTTAACAAACCCGTACAACTTGAGAGTTCGAGTCACACGAACCTCAACGAACCCTCGAAGGAAACAGCCCTTCCTTCGAACAACAAGAGAAATACTTTCTCTTGTCAAGTGTCTAAGAACACTAAAAACTCTCAAGAACAATACTCTCTTTTAGAGTGGATAATGAGTAACTTAGTACGCTCAAGAACGCAACACAAGCTTCACAAAAATGGCTCTCAAAAAGCTATGAAAAAATGATGAATGATTTGCAATGAAAGAGTAGAAGTTGTGAAGTTATGTGATATATAAAACAGATCCAAACACCCCTTTTTATAGTAAAAAAAAGGCTCCAACGGACCAAAGTATTTAAGAGGTGATTGGCAAAATTTGTGGGATTTGATTAAATTTGGATCTGCTGAAATTCACCCAGACAGCGCTGTCCTAGGCTTGGACATCGCTGTTCTAGACTTGATTTTAAAAAATTGGGAAGCAACGGTCATGCCAACAGCGATGTCCAAAACCCCTACATTGCTGTTTTGGCTGTTGACTTCCAAACAAGGAAAGTTTTAGCCTTAAATTCCTTCCAACGGTCAGGTCCCTACATCGATGTTCATAACTTGAACATCGCTGTTTAGGTCTGACTTTGAAGATGGAAGTTTGGCCTGACAGCGCTGTTGCTGGGTCAACATCGCTGTCCTGAAACTTTCTGCCAGAAGCATTTCTTTTTGGCTTAGGTTGGACAGCGCTGTAGGGAAGTCTACATCGCTGTTCCAGAAGTTTCTGGAAATCCAACCTTGGCTCAACAGCGATGTCTAACATCCAACATCGCTGTTGGAAGACTTAACGCCAAACCATGGTTTTCAGCCACCCAAGCCAGACAGCGCTGTTGGTTTCACCAACATCGCTGTTGGGCTGGTTTAGCCAGACCCATGGTTGGTTTAGTCAGCCGTTAGCCGATGTCAAAAATGTAAGTTCTCCAAAATAAAAACCAAGTATTGAAAAT